TTTATTTATTTATTTATTTATTTATTTATTTATTTATTTATTTATTTATTTTTGAGACAGCACAAGCAGGGCAGGGGCAGAGAGAGAGAGCGAGACACAGAATCTGAAGCAGGCTGCAGTCTCTGAGCTGTCAGCACAGAGCCCGACGCGGGGCTTGAACTCAGAAACCACGAGACCATGACCTGAGCCAAAGTCGGACGCTTAACCGACTGAGCCACCCAGGCGCCCCAGATTCCAGTACCATATTGATTGATTCTCTTTTTTCTGTTCTAAGATATGGAGTTAAGTGCTGTCCTGAGGTCTTTTAACGGGGAGTACTACTAGAAATAAATCTGGGTGCTCTGGGTTTGTTTTGTGGTATTCTGCAACAGTCTGGTGGTGGAGAGGCTAATGATGTCACTGCTAGAACACTTTAGAGCCAGAGAAAGAGAATTCTTTTTATGGTTGTGGGTAAACTTGGTTGTTTTTCTGAAACTCTCTAATCCTTTAGTAATGCCTACCTAAGTTTTTAACTATTTTTACTCCCTTCTCCTTAGTATTTCTTTGTATCTCATCGACAAGTGTTCTGTCATTGCTTTCTTGGTGGATTACCAAATTGCTTTCCAAAAGCATTATAACCTCATCATGGGCTTACTAGTGCCAGCTGCAGTTACAGGAGTGCTCTTGTTTTGGCCTGGCCTGGCCAGCACTTTGTGTTTGTGTGTGTTGTAAATATATTTAATCATTGTTATTATCTGTTTTTTCATCTTCCAACCTCTTCCCTAATTAAAAACATACAGTGCTATCTTTGGTTGCTTTCATTTGTCTTTGAATACTACATGTATTTACATCTCTTGGTTCCTTGAGTTTTCTTGGTTTCTTAAAGTCTTGATGATTAATAGATTTGAATGAGTTCTTGTGTATAAATTAATGCAGTCATATGTAATACAACTGCTTAAAAATTTTTTTTTAACGTTTATTTATTTTTGAGAGACAGAGATAGAGCATGAGTGGGGGAGTAGAGCAGAGAGAGAAGAAGACACAGAATCCAAAGCAGGTTCCAAGCTCCGAGCTGTCAGCACAGACCCCGACGCGGGGCTTGAACTCACAGACTGCGAGATCATGACCTGAGCTGAAGTCTGATGTTTAACCGACTGAGCCACCCAGGCGCCCCTGTAATACCACTGTTTTTAACAACTTATTGAGATATAATTCATATACCATACAATCACCTTTTTAAGTAATTCAGTGGGTTTTAGTGTATTCACAAGGTTATACAGCCATCATCACTATCTAGTTCCAGAATGTTTGGGTTTTGTTTTTTTTTTAACGTTTATTTATTATTGAGAGATAGAGAGACACAGAGCATGAGCAGGGGAGAGGGCAGAGTGAGAGGGGGAGACACAGAATCCGAAGCCATCAGCACAGAGCCCGATGCGGAGCTCGAACTCACAAACTGCAAGATCATGACCTGAACTGAAGTTGGTTGCCCAACCAACTGAACCACCCAGGCGCCCCTAGTTCCAGAATGTTTTTGTCACAGAGCCTTTAGCAGCCCCTCTCTGTTGCCCCCCCCCCCCCCCCGCCCCGCCCCACCATCCCTGACGACCACTTATCTGCTTTCTGTCTATGTATATGCCCGTTCTGGACATTTCATGGAAATGGAATCCCATAGTATGTGGCCTTCTGTGTCTGGCCTTTTTCACTTGGCATCATGGTTTTTATGTTCATTTATGTTGTAGCATGTGTCAGCTCTTTCTCTTTATGACTGAATAATACTCTGTGTTTTTTAAAAAGTTTATTGGGGCACCTGGGTGGCGCAGTCGGTTGAGCGTCCGACTTCAGCCAGGTCACGATCTCGCGGTCCGTGAGTTCGAGCCCCGCGTCGGGCTCTGGGCTGATGGCTCAGAGCCTGGAGCCTGTTTCCGATTCTGTGTCTCCCTCTCTCTCTGCCCCTCCCCCGTTCATGCTCTGTCTCTCTCTGTCCCAAAAATAAATAAACGTTGAAAAAAAAATAAAAAATAAAAAAAATAAAAAGTTTATTTATTAGAGAGAGAGCACGCATGAGCAGGGGAGGGACAGAAGGAGAGGGAGAGAGAAAATTCCAAGTAGGCTCTGCACTGTCAGTGCAGAGCCCATCTTGTGGCTCAAACTCATGAACCATGAGATGATGACCTGAGCCGAAGTCGGATGCTTAACCAACTGAGCTACCCAGAAGCCCCAGTACTCTGTTTTATGGCTAGACTACATTTTGTTCATCCATTTATCCATTGGTGAACATCTGGGTTGTTTTCACCTTTGGTTGTTAAGAATCATGCTGCTGTGAACATTTTTGTTCAAGTTTTGTGTGGACATAAGTTTCCATTTCTCTCGAGTACACGCCTAGGAGTGGAATTGCTTGGTTATATGGCTCCTGTTTCCTTTTGAGGAACTGTCAAACTGTCTGCCAGATTTCTCTCTGCACCGTTTTCTATTCCCAATAGCAGTGTGTGAGGGTCCCAATTTCTCCACATCCTCACCAACATTTGTTCTGATCTTTTTAATTCTAGCCACCCTAGTGGGTATGAAGAGGAATCTCACTCTGTCTTTGATTTGCATTTCCGTAATCACTAATGATGGTGAGCATCTTTTCATGTGCTTATTGGCCATTTGTATATCTTTCTGGAGAAATGTTATTTGGATCCCTTATCTGTTAACTGTGTGTGTGTGTGTGTGTGTGTGTGTGTGTGTGCGCGCGCGCTTGGTTTTAATCGAGTCGTAGGAGTTCTTTATGTAGTTTGGATACAAGCCCCTACCAGATACATGATTTGCAAATATTTCCTTCCATTCTATGAGTTGTCTTTTCACTTTCTTGATGGTGCTTTTGAAGCACAAAAGTTTTTAATTTTGATGAAGTCTCTTTGATCTGCTTTTGTTGCTATTGTTGCTTGTGCTTTTGGTCACATATCTAAGAAACCACTGCCAAGGTCAGGAAGGTTTACTGGTATGTCTTCTAATAAGAGTTCTATACTTTCAGTTCTTATATGTAGATCTTTGGCACATCTGAGTTAATTTCGTATATGATATAAGAAAGACATTCAGCTTCATTCTTTTTGTATGTGGCTATGCTTATGTCCCAGCACCGTTTGTTGAAAAGTCTGTACTTCCCCACTGAAGGGTCTTGGCACCCTTGTTGAAGATCACTGGGCTGTAGATGTCTAGGCATCTTCTGAACTCCATCCCATCCATCTCTGTCTGTCCTGTGCCAGGACCACGCTGCCTTGATTACTGTAGCTTTGTAGTAAGCTTTGAAATCAGGTGGTGTGAGGTGGTCATCTAGCATTGTTCCTTTTTTGAGATTGTTTAGGTATTCTGGGTTCCTTGAATTGCCATATGAATTTTAGGATCAGCTTGTCAATTTCTGCAAGGAAGCCACCTACTATTTTAATAGGGACTGCATTGAATAATTTTTTAAAAAAATTTTAACGTTTATTTATTATTGAGAGACAGAGACAGAGCGTGACCATGGGAGAGGCAGAGAGAGGGAGAGACACAGAATCTGAAGCAAGCTCCAGTCTCTGAGCTGTCAGCACAGCTCAATGTGGGGCTCGAACTCACGAACCTAGAGATCATGACCTGAGCCGAAATCTGTCACTTAACGGATTCCATCACTTAACCATCCAGGAGCCCTGACGTTGAATAATTTTTAAAATCTGTTAAATTTTTGAATTTGTTTAGATAATTTAAAAACAGAACACTTTAACTGGTTTGGAGGTAAGTTTGGTGTGGGGTGTGCAATTGGGCTCAAAATAAGATATTTTCCAAATTGTGTTTTGTTTTTTAATGTTTATTTATTTTTGAGAGAGAGAGCAGGAGAGCGAGCAGGGAAGGGGCAGAAAAGAGAGGGAGACAGAGAATCTCAAGCAGGCTCAATGCTGCCAGTGCAGAGCCTGATACAGGGCTCGATCCTATGAACCCTGGGATCATGACCTGAGCTGAAATCAAGAGTTGGACACTCAGTGAACTGAGCCACTGAGGTGCCCCAGATATTTTCCAAATTGTTAACCAATTATTCAACTTCTGTATTTTTGAGAAGCTTATATATTTATTTTTATCAACTGTAAATTTTTTTTGTAGTTGACGGTTCTTGGACTCTTCTTTCCACGAGGTTATGCTTCCATGTCCTAGGACTGCTAGGTTAAAATTCTATTCATTTGTGAGGGATGCAGTGTTAAAGCTGTCTATTTGTTCAAGTCCTAATTGAATGCCTTCTGTGTATGCAGCCTTGTATGAGGTGCGGGTGGGTGAGTAGGCAGGGAATTCTGGGATGGGGACACTGTGGTCAGAGAATTTGGACTGACTTCCTCTGTGGATGGGTTGGCTGCAGGTGTTGTTTAGGCTTGGCAGTGATGGGAAGGCCAACTGGCTTCAGTGGTGTGTGTGTGGGGGGGGGTCGTTCGACATTCACTCCACCCTGAGGGAGGGGGATGATGGTGGACAGGTGCTGGATGGTGGGGTTGGTGGGCATGCAGGTCAAGAGTGGGGGCTGGGATCTAAGCAGGGAAGGGCCTTGGGAGAGGAGGGCAGTGGCCTGAACCCTGCGGCCGAATTCAGATGGCTTATCCTGTACTTGGCGGTATTTGTGTTTCAACAACGTCAGCGCGTCGCTTCACGTGTTTAGAAAAAGTGAGCTGCTTGGAGCCTTACCATTTTTTCCTGTGTCCACCAGTATGACACCGTTCCTATTCAGTCCAGCGTGGTGTTATGTTCTTGCCCGTCCCCATCAATGGTGAGGACCCAGACTGAGTCCGGCTCGGCCCCTGGCATTCCCAGTGGTGGTAGCAGACAGGGCTCCACCATGGACAGCACCGCGGCTGAGTCCCGATCGAGCGCCAACTCGCTGCAGCACACCACACAGCCACCGCCACAGCCTCGGAAGAAACGGCCCGAAGACTTCAAATTTGGGAAAATTCTTGGTGAAGGCTCTTTCTCAACAGTGAGTACATGCCACCCTCGGGGGTTCAGCTCCTGTTGTGAAGGTGATTTGGGGGCTGGCTAACGCCAAGTGGGTCACATGGTTAAAATATCTAAGCCGTGATTTTGTACTTGAAAGCTTTAAAAGGTATCTTTTGATCTTTCTATTTTTTTTCTTTTAATGTTTATTTTATTTTTGAGAGCGAGAGGGGGAGAGAGCATGTGAGTGGGGAGGGGCAGAGAGACAGGCAGACAGATTTCCAAGCAGGCTCCGGGGCTTGAACCCACCAACTGTAAGATTATGACCTGAGCTGAAATCAAGGGTTGGATGCTCAAGTAAGTGACTGAGCCACCCAGGTGCCCCTGTTTTGTTTTTTGGGTTTTTTTTTAAATGCAGTTAATTTTATCCTAATTTTTATTCTGATTCTAATTTATTTATCAACAAGTTACATCCTGTGTCCTTGTGTCCCATTAGCAAGGTCCTGCCAAGTTTTTCTACCCTTTCTCTTGTAAGGGTCAGCATCAGTATCTCTTCAGGGCTTTTGGGAAACATTGACCTTTATTATTTCTCTTTTATTTAAAACAATGTGTAAAACAGCACAATCTTGACAGCTGCTAGAGGCGCAGCCTTTGGACCTGCTAGCCTCCAAATTCTCGTGGCCTCAGTTTCACAATCAGCAATAGTATTTTCACAATCAGCACCAGCAGGTCACATGCTGGGTACCTCTGTTTGCTACCTGAGTAAGCTGTGCCTGTCTTGGGGCATTTTTCCTTTTAAAGCAAAGAATGAAGGTTCAGAGCAGCCCCTTTGCTGAGGTAGCAGCTCCACGTGGCTGTGGTGAGGCCGGGGGGGGGGTGGGGCGCGGGACGGACTTGTGCAGGCTTGGGGGAAGCCTGAGTGCCTGGACCCAGCAGGGCCCTGCGGATGGCCAGGGCTGGCCAGGGCCGCTCTGCAGCGGCCTCCTGCTGGCAGGGCTTTCTTGCCTGGCCTTTGTGAAAAAACTTCAGGTGAAATGTGTTTCCCCTTTTGTCTTTTTACATTTATGAAATGTTATAAAATACAAAGAACATGAAATATTATAGCTCACCCATGTTCCCAGCTTCATTTAATCAATGTTAACTTTTGCTCCCCTTATAGTTTCCCTTCCTCCTTCCCTTCCTCCTTCCCTTCTTTCCCCCTTCCCTTCCCTTCCCTTCCCTTCCCTTCCCTTCCCTTCCCTTCCCTTCCCTTCCCTTCCTCCTTCCCTTCCTCCTTCC